TTTTTTTTCTTCCCCCCCTTCTCACCCTCTCCTCTCCCCTCTATTTTTCTTTCTTTCCCTCTCTTTCTTTCATTCTTTCTCCCTGTCCTATCCCCCAGTCATGTCTGTCCTGTCTTTAAAAAACGAAAATAAAATAAATACATAATTATAATAAAGGTCAATCAAATGGACCAATATGGCAAGGCCATGATGATCCACTTGGTAAAGTAAATCCACTTGGCATCTTTCTTGGCCTTCAGACAACAATTCTGATGGCTAAAGATCAAAACAGGACAGAAAAAAAAAATACTGACAAGCTGAGAAGTCACACTGTTACACAAGTTATCCATCCTCTGTAGCAGTGTGACCTGCTACAGTGAGCAGCAGTTGGTTCTACTAAAGCAGAGCAGGCTTGGCTGCTCTTGACATGACTGTTCTTCCACGTTCATATATGGTAATGCTTGGATGAGGAGGCCCAACCAAGTGGTGCATGGCATCCAGAATAGCAATTTACCAACCAAAGGTCAGGTGTGTGGGGTATTGAAGAAGGTTAGGAAAAAATGCACCAGCAGCAGCTGCATGTGCATGTGATTAGCTGCAGAGTCTCAGGGCGGGGATGAGGGCTTTATATATAACAATGGTAATTTCATTGCTATTTGAGACACTGCAGTTACAGTACCAACAGCGTTCCCCTTTCGTGCCCTTTCTCCAGAGACGATAGTTCAGCATTTTGAAAAGATCTCTTTTCTTAATAGATTCTGGTTTTCTTCTAATGAGCTGTCTTCCCTCTAACACCTGTACTCGTGCTGGAAGATTCCTCTTAAAAGGAATATTCTAATGCTGAAGACAGCATATTGTCTGTATTATAGCCCACCTTTAATAAAGTCTAATGTAGCATTAAAAAGCAAAGCAGCTGTGCACTAAAATGTGTAGCTCATAATACAAAGACCTGTGTTTTAACACAGGTTAATGCTGGCAACTCATCAGTTTAATGTTTGGCTTCTGGAGCAATATTGCTTTTAAAGTTAGTGAATGCTACAAGATTACTGCCATTTAAGAGTACTTTTATCGTGAGTAAACACCCCCTTTACAATTATCTTGCACATATTACGTCTGACAACATTTACTTCTGAGTGTACTCTGCATCATTAAGTACTGAATGAGTTCATATTGGTAGCATCTTGATCACACAACCAGCGTCAAGCTTGCCGGTTCCCCTCTTCTCGGGGTCTTGAAACTATCTGGCAAATAATATGCTTTACTGTGTAATAAAACTAGCATATTGTCCAAGAAGTCTTTGTGACTTAAAAAAGATAATTTTACTATAATGGATGGATGGATGGA